CTGGACCGTCAACAAATCCAAGACGCCCTCTTCGAAAAGCGTCGGCGAACCCGAGTTCTGGCGTACTCGAGTCTAACGTTCCCCCGAGACAGGAAGCACGGCACCAGCACCAGGGGGGACAAGAGCCACGCAGTGCCTGCCTGGTGGTGTGGTCCCGCTGGTGCTGCGGCGCCCCGCTCGAGACGTGTCTCGAGCCCGATCTCCAGCTCGGGGGGCTGGCCATCGTTCACCTGGCAGCTGGCGGTTGCCCACTGGTGGTGGTGTCGCTTCTGCTCTCCCTTCCCCGATGGAGGGATTTTCCTTGGAGAGGGGAGGAGGTCGGACACGCCAGCGACAGGTGCCCCCTAAAGCGGTGCGCGCCAGAAACTGTATGAGCCAAGCGTGCGACTAGGGGGAGGAAATGCGGCCGCGTGCTATGCAGCAAGACGCGCGCTCACACCCGGGGCGACGCGTGCACTGCTTCCTGTCGGAAGTCTCTTGATGGGTCAATCCAGACCCGGGTCCGTGTCCACTTGGGCTCAACATGTTCCTGCTGCAGGACTTTGAGAGGATTGCGGGCGACGCGGTTGAATTTGTTGATGATCCACGCCCAAAGTCGCTCAGGGCCAAGCAGAAACAGCAATTTAAGTTTGCAAGACAGCCGATCGACAATGGTGCTGGTTTTGCGCACAGGGCGGCACTCGCCCTCAATATGGAGGCGGAAGTGTCGACGGCCACGAGGGAACATTCCGCCGCGGTGCTCTCGGGCGATCAAAAACGTTTCGGGCTGGTCCAGAGTGACTCTGTTTCAAGGAGCTCGCGAAATCCAACGTGATCCACTGTTGCTTTAGACGCTCTGCCAGAGCTACTCGCTACCACGCAGGTTGCAGGCGGTCGGTTTAGTCAGCTGCGAGGTCTGCGCGTTCAGAGAGGCATCGGCGGGCTGCTCACAGGCGCGCACTATCGCGTCGGCGTTGTCGACGCGGATGCTGGCCGCAATGCGCCAGCCCAGAATGGTTCCAAGGGCGCTGATTGAAGACGTGTTGTCGCAGTGGCATGGTGCTAAATTGAACGGCGCGCGGGCAATGTGGCAGTCGGTGGTGGAGTTCCAAACGGTTCGTCCCAGTTGGGTCTGGCGGCGCTGCCTGAGAAGTCTCGGCGCGCGGCATCATCGACATCGGCGGCGAAAGAATCGAAGAAGCATCCCCGTGCTTGCGGCCCCAGAAACACGCAGCCGGATCAATGACCTTTCAACTCCCATCAGGGCAGAAATGCGGTTCACGATCATACGAAGACGAGAACGACACTTTGGCAGACTCGCACGGGCAGGCCCACGTCGTTCAAGTGCGCTGCCGGGTACGTGGCGCGATGCTCGTGGATGGCGGGTCTGATTCCGTCGGCTGCGCCCGGAGCGGGGGCGTCTGGATTGAACGGGGCGACGCTCGCCATGAGGTTCAAGGTTCTCAGCAGGTACGTTGGCGCGCGCTACTTCTTCGTCTCTCACGCTCTACTTTTCCACGCAGAGGAGTCCTGCGCATGATCCGATACCAATGGCGATTCGCGACTTTGCGCTGAAGTGCGAGAATCGGCGTGACTCGCCAGGGCATAGATTCTTTGGTTGCGAGCCTGTGCTGCAGCTTGACGACGCGGTTGAGGCCGCTGAAAGTACCCCTCCTGATAGGCTCGAGGACATCTGGAGCTACAAGCACGACCAATGATTGGTGAGCCTCGTTGGGGCGAAACTGAGATCGGCATGGACATTCCGCGTGTACCTTGCGCGGTGGAGTCGGTCAAGCCTCACGATTCGGGTGCGCTATGGGCTGACTGAGCCTCAAAGACGGACTGCTCGGGGGGAGGACATTGTCTTCCAGGATGGCTTGGGGTTCTCATCGGCGGTTCCGGGGCTCATGCGATTGCGATGCGCATGTCCTTTCGCGATGATGAATCAATCGGCTCTGCGTGCCTCAGCGGGGTACGGATGACCCGCTTCCTATTTCATTGCAGCCCGCTGGCAGGGCTGAACGGTACACGGTGCTCGTGAATTTGAGCTTGTTTGCGCGGACTTGCTGGCTCCGCGGGGCGAAGGCAATGCGTGGCCAGACTTTCTCGGCGCGGCTACTAGCACTCATGGTATTATCTGGAGGCAGACCAATTTAGCAGCTGAGAGTCAGAGGGCGTCTTTAGTTTGGGTGCGTGGGCACAAGTCCACGCAGGACTGCGCGGAGTTGGGCACTCCGCAGATCTTCTTCATGGGCAACTCATGGGGTGAACACTTGACTCCCGACGGTGCGCAAAGTGCTTTACGTCGGTGGGATCGGACTTCAGAAAGGAGAAGGCAAAACGGCATCATCTTTGTCGAACATCCGAATGCGTCTGCGCCGGCGGGTTGCACGTCGGCACACCAAGAGATCAGCAAACCACACCGAAATCATCCATCAGCTTGCTCGGCATTGTGTTCGACGGCGGTTTCGGCAACCTGGGGCTCGTGGAGTTGCTGTGTGCGGCCCTGGGTAGGTGGAGTGGGGCTTTGGCCCTCGTCGGCCCCCCCGTCCACCCAGGGCCACACCCTTCCTTTCAGCCGCCTGGCCGTGCCGCTGGTGGGCTCGCGCAGCGAGCTGTCTGGGCTGACCCTTGCCCCCGAGCTGGCCACCACCCCTCGGCCGGAGGAGAGGTGTGGACGCCAGGCCGTGCTGCCGCCGATGCTTCCAGTGGCCTCCTGCGTCCAGTCCCGCTGCATGCCGTCCTTCGGCTGCGCCCCGTGCACGCGCGTCGTGCTGTTCCCCAGAGGGGGCGCCTGAGCGGACCCGTGGTCTGAACCGCGGCGGCCTGCTGTGCGACTGCTTCGGCACCTTCTGGTACTGACCCGGCCGCTGCTGGGCCAAGTGCTGCCACCCCTGGCTGGCAGGGGGCTGGGGGAGTCCCCGCGAGTCCACCTTTTCATTGTTCTGGTCGTTGCCGTCCCCGTTGTCGGCTGCCTGGGCCGCGCGGCTGCCAGTCCTGGCTGGCAGTGGGCCTACGACCCGAACAGGCCGGATCGGAGACCGCATCGGCCACCGCCCTGGAGGCACGCTGCCGCCCCCCCTTTGCTGCGCAGTGTTGCATCCCGCGACGCTGGCGCCGAGCCCCGAATCCTCGAGTCCTCCTCCTCCTCCTCCTCCTCCTCCTCCTCCTCCTTCCCTCCTCCTCCTCCTCCTCCTCCTCCTCCTCCTCCTCCTCCTCCTCCTCCTCCTCCTCCTCCTCCTCCCCTCTTCCCTCCATCCACACGTTCCTCATCGTCCTCCACCATCCCCATCCCGCGAGTTGAGACCAGCAGCACAACATCTACGCCTGGACCCGCCCTGGGGCCCAACCGCACCAGCTTTTTCCGAGCCGCGCCCGGCCGTGGCGACGTGCCCCCCCCCCCCCCCCCCCGAAGCTCAACTGCCGTTGTCGCAACGGGCGCTCTTCTGAGCTTCCGTTCTTTCCTGCCCTCTCCCTCCTGCCGTCCCCCCCCCCGTCTTTTTTCTTTGGCTCAACTCTGAGCGACTTGTTCTCGCAGCGTCTGAGACGCCGAGAACGGCGCGAAAAAATGCCTCACTTCGACGTGCGCGTGCGAACCACAACCCTGATTCTGATCACCTTGACAGACAAAGTGAGGAGAGGAGGTGCGAAGAAGGTGCGGTAAAGCTGGGAAGCACACGCGGGCATATAGAGCATCAGCCTTGCAGCCGTCGTCCTGCAACTTCTCATTCTCCACCACCTTAGGCTGCCGAACCTCCGACATCGTGCTCTTGCCCACGACGTGGGCCGCCGGGGAACCATCGGCCCCGTCCATGGTGCATGTTTCCGTCGCGGGGCATTTCGCTGAGGGTGCCGAGGCCCAGAAGCTGCCCAAACCGCGGAAACTGGCGCCAATCGTGTTCTCCCAACACTTTTCTTCGTGTTACTAAAACTTGGTTTAAACACATGTTCTTCCAACACGACGCCCGGGCATCTGGGCGAAAGGCGGGGCGGGAGGGGGCGCGGTGCGAAGGATGCCTTGTTCTCCTTCCAGACCCACGCCTCGCAGTCCTGGATGCCTTGGCACATGGCGCAGCACATCTCCCAGCTAGGAATGTGGTCCAGGTGGTCGGTGAAATGTTTGCCCACCTCTTGGGTGGGAGAAGGATGAGAAAGGCGAGCGAGAGTGAATATTGACGTCCTTCGCCATGAATGGGCCTCCTGGGCAGCCCCCGTCGCCACGGCTTGGATCCACCTCGAGAGCTAGGTCAGAACGCGACCCTGGCGGACGGGGCACCGACGCACGTCGCCTCCTTCTCTGATTCCTCCTCCTCCTCCCCTCCCCCTCCCCCCCTGCCCCTCCTGCCCCTCCTCACCTTTCTCGCCTCCTCCCTTCCTCCCCTTCTGCCCCTTGGACTCCTCACCTCTGCGACGCCTGCGACACGAAGGTCTGACAGCCGAACACAACTGAGGCCCAGCAGCAGACAGACACAGCGAGAAGAGAAGAGGGGGAGACGGGAAAGAGGGGCGAGGGGAACAGGTTCAGGGAAGCTCCTGTCGAAAAAGTGCGGCCCCGACCGATTCATCCCACAACTCCTCCTCCTCCTCCTCCTCCTCTTCCTCCTCCTCCTCTTCCTCCTCCTCCTCATCCTCCTCCTCCTCCTACTGATCCTCCTCCTCCTCCTCCTCCTCCTCCTCCTCCTCCTCCTCCTCCTCCTCCTCCTCCCCGCCTTCCATGCGTCGGCTCCCTCCGCCGGAAGGGGACGCGGGGGAACAGGAAGAGGCCGCGCACGGACCGCGTGGCTCCTTCCCCAGATCACTGTTTCCCCCTCCTCCTACTCGCCTCCTCATCGTTCCGCCTCCTCCTCCTTCTCCTCCTCCTCCTCGTCATCATCATCAGCAACATTAGCATCATCAACATCATCAGCAGCAGCACCACCGTAACCATCATCAGCATCTCCATCTCCATCTCCATCACCATCACCATCACCATCACCATCACCATCACCATCACCATCACCATCACCATCATCATCATCATCATCATCCTCATCATCATCATCATCATCATCATCATCAGCGCCATCATCATCATCATCATCATCATCATCATCACAATCAGCATCATCAGCATCACCATCATAATCAGCATCACAAGCATCATCATCATCATCGTCATCATCATCATCATCATCATCATCATCATCATAATCAACATCATCATCGTCATCGGCATCATCGTTAGTATCATCATCACCCACATAATCATCAACATCATCATCAACAACCAAATCATCAGCATCAGCATCCTCATCATCATCACCATCATGCTCCGGAAAATAGAAATAGTCATAATCATCAGTATCATGATCATCCGCATCATCATCACCATCATCATCATCGACGTCGTCAACATCATCAGCAGCAGCATCGTCATCCTTATCATCCTCCCCCTCATTGGCATCACCATCAGTATCACCATTCACAGCGACATTACAATCATCAACACCATGGCAATCATCATCATCAGCATCATCATAACCATCACCATCATCATCATCATCATCAGCATCATCATCTTCATCATCATCGCACTTGGAATCTTCACCGTGATCCTCATCCTCATCATCATCCTCTGAATCGTCATCATCATACTCATCACCATCATCATCATCATCAGCAGCAGCAGCCGCAACAGCATCAGCATCAGCATCAGCATCAACATCAGCATCAACAACGTCGTCGTCGTCATCATCCTCATCATCATCATCATCATCATCAGCGCCATCATCATCATCATCATCATCATCATCATCATCGTCATCATCATCATCATCATCATCATCATCATCATCATCATCATCATCATCATCACCGTCGCCGTCGTCGCCGTCAACAACAGCATCTTCAAACCATGGACTACAACAACTGCATCAATCAAAAAATTACCCACTGGCTCCCGCAACAACCCCTCCATCCGTGATCGCAGAAGCTGTAGCGTGAAATTGATGCTGCCGTGGGCGGGCTCCGCAGGCGGGTGGCCGTGCACAGCACCGCACACGAGCCGAAACCCTGAGGCGGAATGTGCAATCAACTTCACCGCACCCGAGCCCACCCCATCGCAACTTCCCAGGAATACCCCAAAAGGGGCTCCAGAGCGCCCCCGAGACGGCCCCAAGAGCGCCCAAGAGACGCCCAAGAGCGGCCCCAAAGGGCCCCAAGACGAAATATTTGAACCTCCGCAGGGGCGAACTTGAATTGCCCCCCCTCCCCTCCTCTTTTCGAGCCATGGGAGGCCAAGAGGCCCGAACAGGCCCCATCTGGAGGAGGGCGGGGTTCTCTGATGCGGCCCGACGGGTGGCGCCGACTCGACTCGGACACGGCCAAGCAGGTCGTTTAGCACTGCCCAAGGGCACGTCGAACGGAAAGGTTGAGCGTCGTCATGGGCCTGCTGCCCACAGAGCGGGAATGCTGAGCCATCTGTGTGCTTCGCGAATCACGTATGCGACACTGTGCCTACAAGCTCGTTGCGACGTAGCTGCGCAGAAAAAGTGGCCAAGGTCAATCAGGAATGCGGAAATCGCAGCGTCAACCAACTGATGAGCGAACTTGGAAAATCATCGTTGGTGCAAGACGGCAGTGAGGCCTTCGGCGATGACAGAGAGTACTGCAGTAGAGGAGTGGACTCGCCCGATGGCGGGCCCATCCCTGCCAGTCCTTGCCCGGTGCCCCGTCCTGGGCTTGTGCTGTTCCTCTGGACGGTGACTTCTGACTGAACCGAACCGACCCTGACTGAGCTCAAAGCCGAGCCGAGCCGCTGCTTGTCCGCCCTGGGCGCATCGTCACGACTTCTCGGCTGTGATCCAGGTGGCGGCACCCGAGCTACGAAAGGCTGGCGAAAAGGCCCCAGCCGCGCCCACACCGACGCCTGCACCACAATCTCGCGCGAGACCTCGAGCTCGTCGCGCTTTTCCTGCTGAGGGTATTTCGCGGGACCTCCAGAGCACCCAGAGTGTACAAGTTTTTGTCGCAACCATCCTGTGGTGTTGGGTCCTCGTTTTGAAAAGACATCGCCCAGATGTCACTCCTTCCACCTCCCCCTCCTCCCTCCTTCCATCCATGCCTCTACCGTCCGCACAAGTCAACCCTTCCTTCATTCCTCCTCCCCCGCCTCCTTCCTCCTCCAATCCTTGCCTCTGCTCTTCGCATCAGTCTGTCGCTTCGGCACACCCCTCACACGCTTCGTGGCACCATAGGGAGCATCACCGAAGGTCCCAATGCTGCAGTTCGCATGTGGGCGGCACGCCCGTTTCGGCACACCGCTCACACGTTCCGTGGCCCCACAGGGAGCTCCACCGAAAGTCCCATAGGCGCAGTTCGCCTGTGGGCGTCACGCCCGTTTCGGCACACCCCTCACACGTTTCGTGGCCCCATAGGGAGCTCCATCGACGGACCCAGCGCTGCAATTTGCATGTGGGCGTCACGCCCCTTTCGGTACACCCCTCACACGTCTCGTGGTCTCGTAGGGTGCACCACCGAAGGTCCCAGTGCTGCAGTTCGCATGTGGACGTCACGCCCGTTTCGGCACATCTCTCGTACGTTGCGTGGCCTCACAAGGAGCTCCCCCGAAAGACCCGATGCTGCAATTCGCATGTGGGCGTCACGCCCAATGCGGCACACCCCTCATCCGTTACGTGCCCTCATAGGGAGCTCCACTGAAGGCCCCAATGCTGCAGTTCGCATTTGGGCATTCACGCTCTTTTGGGCATACCTCTCACACGTGTCGTGGCCCCGTAAGGAGCTCCACCGAAGGTCCCAGTGCTGCAGTCCGCATGTGGGCCTCACGACCGTCTCGGCACACCCCTCACACGTGCCGTGGCCCCATATGGGGCTACACCGAAGGTCCCACAGGCACAGTTCGCATGTGGGCGTCACGCCCGTTTCGGCACACCCCTCACACCTTGCGTGGCCTCATAAAGGAGCTCCTCCGATGGTATCAGTGGGAGGGTTCACATGCGCCCCCCTCCTCATATCGGCACGCCCCTCACACGTCTCGTGGCCCCATCGGGAGTGCCACCGAAGACTATCCTCACAACTGCCGCCCTCAGAAGTGCATATAGTTGGGCCTTTCGCCCAGCTCATGTGTTTTCTTGCCAGTGAAGACCCAGCAGCAGTTGTCCCGTGGACTCGGCCTGGGGGAAAAAACTCCTCAGACTTTCGGCGACGGCCGAACGTCTGATTTACAATACGGCACCCGCCCCTACACATGAACGTTCCGATCGAGCCTAACACCGAGAATGTATAAGGGTTGCCGCTAAACTCTCTGTCTGCTGGCCCTGTGCGTTCTCTCGCAACCACGGCTCCACTCTGCGCGGTCGTGGGCAGCGGCGTCCTGTTGCGGCGCGGCACTCCAAGGAGTCCGAGGAGCAATCGCCCCGCACGTGCACGTGCAATGCATGCCGCAAAGCTTTCCGCAACTCCGCTCGGGCGCGCAACGAAGCGGCTGCCAGACCGAAAAGGACGGTGCCGCCGCGAGCAGCGCGTTGCCCTGCAGCGCGGCCCGGCGATGCGAAGTGTCTCGCTGCGATGCCAGGGCACGCCGAATGTCCGCCGCCGTGCCGCAAGCACTGAACGGAGCGTCGTCGGGGCCCTCGGTCCAGTGGAGGGGCGCCAGACAACCAACTCACAGGAGTTTCTGGGCGCATGCGGGCTCTTTCAGGCGCTTCTGGAGTGCGCCGCGCAATGTTCCTCAAAACTTCGGGAGCGTGGCTCTGAATCCAGACCTCCAAGAGTCTCGAAGAAGGCCTCAGGGAACTGTTTAGCTATCTTGGAGGCCCTGGGGGCCAGGCCAAGGCTAAACCCCTTGGAACTTGGAACAGAAACACGACACGCTCGCGTGACGCTAGCATTTTATGTACTTTTCGATCTTGAAATTGTTGGAGACGGCCCAGGTCTCCTTCATCGTTCCGAAACGGGGCCCGAATCACCGAGAGGAACACAAGAACCACCCCCCAGACGGGTCCAAGAGCAGCCCAAACGGACAAAATTCGAAGTGATGCGGTGGGTGCATTGGTTTAGGAATGTGCCCGGGAGGCTTCGGACCCTGGAGAATTCCGTATCGGATGAGGGCTGCGGTGGTTTCCACGGCCAATCCACGATTGGAGTTCCAACGGCTTCCAGACCCCAGATTCCGTATTTAAGGGTTCCTGATCCAATGCCCTCGTCGTATTTGAAGCCTTCAACCTCAGAATGGCCCCTGAGACCTCCGGCAGGCCCGCCAGAGCGTCCAGAAGGCCCCCCCAGGAGCCGCCAAGATGCCCCTAGGAGGCTCCACGGACGCCCCCTGGAAGCCTCTAAAGCGGCACCTGTGCATACTCATCGTGAAGACACGAGGTGACGAGCTCGGCGACGCAATAATGAAGCCACTGATCTAGTTGAAGTGCTGTGCACCCCGGTGCAACTGAAACGTCCAAGGCCCTCGGGAGGCCACCAAGAGACCTCCATAGGACCCCCAGGAGTTCCCCGAAGCCTCCAAGGAACAGGGGGCACCAAGAAGCCTCTTGTCCACGACTCATGCTGGGTGGCAGGATGGGCCGAAGGCCACTGCATTCGAACCACCAGTCGTGGAACCGAGCTCCTCTTCGGACTGTGACGACAGGGCGGCGCCCCTCGAGGCATGCGAGGAGGGATGGCAGCGCTGCGAACATCCATCCCGAGAACGTCGCAGGAGGAGGAGGAGGAGGAGGAGGAGGAGGAGGAGGAGGAGGAGGAGGAGCGCCGGGGCGTCCGAATTGCCGGCACGCAGCGCCAGGATCTCTGCCACCTGCCGTGGATGGACCCACCGGAATCGAGAGGCGCGCGTGGTCGCGCGCCTGCAGTCGCCGATCGCTCCGCTCAGCCCCACCTGGCCAAGCAGGGCACCCAGAGAGGATGCCGCCCACCGCCACAGGTCCTCTCTGCCAGCTCCGGCCTGAAGCAGGCCCCGGGTGCCGCACGTGCGGACACTGCGCCAAGGTTGAGCCGCAATGGGAGGATCGGCCCTGAGATCGAAGTCCCCAGAAAACACCAGACATCCCCAGAGGTCACAGGGAACCTCCAGAAGCCTCCAGAGGCCTCTGGAGGCCCTCAAAAATCCCAAACGCCCAAAACCTTCTACAATCGATACCCATCCTCGGTCAGACGTCGGGGTCATCCAAACTCCCACTTCGCATGGTCTGATCAAGTGACCAGGATCGAGTGAAGTGCCCTGGCTCGCAGGAGGGTTGGCCGCCCCATCCCGAACGGCCACCTTGTACTCGAGATCCTTCTCAACCTTGCCGCACTCTGGCTTGAAGTCAAACCACTCCTCCTGGCGCCGAGGATGCGGAAGGGGAGGACGGAGGAGGGCTGGGGGGGGATGGACGCGGGGGAGGAGGACGGACGGCGGGAAGGAGCATCGGGGGAGGGACCAGGAGGAGAAGAGGAGATGGGATGCCAGCCAGAAAGGGTGGAAGGAAGAGAGCGCAAAACTAAAGTTGGGTCGGGCATGTCCCCCTACAGGCGGATTTTGGAAGAGCGATTCAAAATATGCAAGAAATCGAACATGGGCAAACAATAATCGAAAAATCGTCCCCCAACTATGTCTACCTATTTTTGAATCCTGCAGAGGCGAGCAGGCCCGAATTAAAACGAAAGGCGGGGGAACGAGCCGCTCCCCGCCGCAGGCCCCCGCCTGCGGGCCCGGCGAGCGCGCGGGCCCATCGAGCGGCTCAACGGGGCGCCGCGCGGCGAAAGCTCCGCCAGGACGAGCGGCGGGACGACGACGACGACGACGACGACGACGACGACGACGACGACGACGACGACGACGACGACGACGACGACGACGACGACTAGGGCAGGGTGGCCGCGGAGGAGAGCCGTACCCCGCCACACGCCGCGGGGCAGAGACTGCGATGCACCGATGCACCGGAGGGGCTCCGTGCGCTCGGGCGGCACCTGGGACGCGCCACCGATGGGCGCCACGAGGGGCTTGCGGCGAGGGCGCTGGATAAGGTAGGAGGCAGCTACTGGGAGGCCTTCGTCGGAAGGATGAAGGAGGATCCAGCCCCAGTGGGGGGATGCTACGCTGGTTTAGGCCGAGGATTAAGCGGGACTAAGCTGGATTAAGCAGGATTGAGCGGGATTGAACCGGATCACGCCGGATTTCAAGCCAGGGCAAAATCAGAATTTGACCTCCCACGAGTTGCATCCGAAGATCAGGAACCCTTGGATAAGGAATCCCCAGGGTCTGAAAGCCAGTGGAATACCAACCGACCTTTGGCCATGGATAGCACCGCCGCCCTCATCCTCGTCCTCCTCCTCCTCCCTCATCCTCCTCCTCCTACGCCTCCTCCTTTCTCCTCCTCCTCTTCCTCCATTCCTTTTCTCCCTGTCGCACCCTGATGCCAGTTTTTAGGGCGCGCCGGGCGTTTCGCCTGAGCCTTCCTCACCATTTATGATCCTGAAGCTTAAAGAGTGGCAACAGTTTCGCACATGGAGGGTGGGTGGTTTTCAAAATGTGGCTCTCGCCTTAGCGCCGCGCACATTAGCTTCACGGATTGAGGGCGGGTCGTGTTCAAAATGTGGCTCTCGCCTTAGCGCGGCGCACATTCGTTTTTAAACAATTGCAAAAGCTTCACGGATTGAGGGCGGGTCGCGTTCAAAATGTGGCTCTCGCCTTAGCGCCGCGTACATTCGTTTAAGAACAACTGCAAGAGTTTCACGGATAGAAGGCGAATCGTTTTCAAAATGTGGCTCTCGCCTTAGCGCCGCGCACAATGTTTTCTATGCAAGAGCTTCACGGATTGAGGGCGGTTCCTTTTCAAAATGTGGCTCTCGCCATAGCGCCGCGCACATTCGTTTTTAAACTGTTGCAAGAATTTCACGGATTCCCATCAACAGCGTACCAGTAATTGTTTTGGAAGGATTCAGGGTTATGCGGGTGCAACCATTACGTTGGATCTTTGTGTCGAAGTCCTGGGAACGGTGTTATTGGACGATTCAGGATCGTCAAGAAGCAACAGTCAGCTTGATCCATGGCGTTGGAATCCCGAGAACAATGTTTTGGCATGCTTCAGGGTCTTAAAACGGGTGTTTTCCAGCGAGACAGTTCCATCAATGGAAATGAACCGTTGTGGGGGCCTATGAAGAGGGAGCTTGGAGGGAGGGTTTACTCCAACTTCGTTGATGACTCTTGGGTTTACACTGGTCCCCCTCCTCCTCCTCCTCCTCCTCCTCCTCCTCCTCCTCCTCCTCCTCCTCCTCCTCCTCCTCCTATTCCTCCTCCTTCTCCTCCTGCCATTCCTTCTCCTCCTCCTCCTCCGCATCCTCTCCTCCTCCTCCTCCTCCTCCTCCTCCTCCTCCTCCTCCTCCTCCTCCTCCTCCTCCTCCTCCTCCTCCCCCTCCTCCTCCTCCTCCTCCCCCTCAGATGCTGGACTCTCGCAGCCATAGCGCCAAGCTCGCTTGTCAACGCAGGCCCGGCGAGCGCACGGGCCTGCGTTGTCGCTCAAGGGCGCGGGGCAACGGAGCGAGCCTGCCCCACAGCGCCGAACATGCGCGCGTGGGGCGGGGACCCGTGCCGCTGGCCGTGGCGCATGAGAAGCAGTGCATCAACATGCATGAGCACGGAGATCGGTGCACCGCAGCGAAAACCGATCCGTCTCCGTCCTTGTGCGTCCTCCTCGGTGTGCCTCTCTCCCCGGGCCGAATTTCGGGACGGGCCATCCCCCGGGCAGGAGGCAGAGGGGAGGAGCGTGGCGAAGGAGCGGGAGGCCAAGGAGAGCACGAGACACGGACCACGTGTGGCTCACGCTCTTGGCCCGCGGGGCCCCTCGCGGCGGCCGCGGCGGCGGCGGCGGCGACGGCAGCGGTGGCGGCGGACGCGAAGGCGACGACGGCCACTGGAGAAACACTTGAAAACACTGAGACCGCCACTCCCCAGACCCCTCCAGGGGCGCGTGCTGACCAAGCCTTCGGGGCGAATCTGGTCGTGGCAGAGAGGGCTCTCCAGGACGAGCAAGGCCATTGGGGAAACCAGAGGGTACCGATGCCTCTGCTCCACGGACCTCTCCTGGGGTGCGTTCTGACTAGGATTCCGAGGCGAATCCAGCGGTGGCGACGAGGGCCTCCCAGGAGGCGCAAAAAGGAGGGAAACGATGCAGGGGAAGCGGTAAGGATACCTCTTCCTGTCTTGAGGCATCGGTGCCTGCTCCTCCTCTGAGCGGCGGCAGCGGCGGCGGCGGCAGTGGCGGCTGCAGCGGCGGCGGTGGCGACGCGCCCTGAGAGCGGAGGGCCGTGACGGCGGGGGCGTCCTGCGGCCCCAGCACGGCGTCGGGCTCGGGCAGCTCGGGCAGCGCCGGCCTCGGCAGCGACGGAGGGCGCCAACCGCCCGCGTCGGGCCACACGCTCACGTAGAGGATCCAGCACAGCATCACCTCGCGCAGGGCGGCCGAGGATCGAGGCTCGAGGCTCGAGGCTCCAGGCTCGAGGCTCGAGGGCCGATTCTCCTCCTCGGTTGCTCTTTTCCTGGCCGACTCTCCTCTCCTGCCAGACCACCCCAACCCAAGCCGCAAACTCCGACTTCGGGTGGCAGGGGGGTACGAGTTCCACATGTGTTCTGTTCCCCATGTTCTCCCCGGCGCCCCCCCCCCTGGGAATGGAGGACAAACTGGGGCCTCCTGGTTGGGTTGGCGTGGCTTGGTGGGTGGTGATCTTCTGCCCCCGAGGACTCCGAACCTCGCAAATCCTTGAGGCCCGAGGCTCGGAGGGCCTCGACTGGTCTTCTTCGGAGGCCTCCGGAGGTAGATCTAGTAGAGGGCAGAGAAACCACCCTGAAAATAACCACCCCGACACCCGAAGCCGTTGAGTAAACGCACCCAAAGAAGGCATCGACCAGGGCAGGGCTGTTTAGTAAACGCCCAAGCCCGTTTAGTAAACGCCAATTGTCCGGTCCGGGTGGTGTTCCCTCCCTTGATCTAGGGGAAGCCAACGGGTGCCGCAGAATTCCGAGGCGAATCCGGCGGTGGCGACGAGGGTCTCCCAGGAGGCCCCAAAAGGGAGAAAGCGAGGCAAGGGTCACGGTATGGGTACCGCTCTACCCTCCGAAACTCAGAAACTTGCGAGCCCCAGGGTGGCTACCAGCATCGGTGGTTCGAAGATGGGGTCCTGAGGGATGGGATCCTGAAGACGAGGCTCCTTTAACAACAACGTAAACTCACCCATGGATCCCTTCCTATCCTTCGGACCCCATCCCTTAGGACCCCATCTTTGAACCGCCGACAGCAGCTGCGCGAATCGCCACGAGGCTTCCGATAGCCGCCAGGGGTCGCGCCAGCAAGGGCCCTTCTGGGGCCCGGAAGCCATCTCTGGCCGCGGCAAGGCACCGCGGGGCAGCCCCCAAGAGCTGGTCCCCGCTGGCCTCAACGGTCCCCCAAAAGGTAGCTCAGGGCGGCCTCTCGACCACGACGACGACAACGACGAGGAGGAGGATGACGACGACGACAACGACGACGACGACGACGAGGACGAGGACGACAACGACGACGACGACGGCGACGACGACGAGGACGACGACGAGCCTCAGGGCGCCACCTCTTGTGAAGCCCTGGGGTTGGGGTGATAAGACCACTCAGGCTACAACCTCGGGGGCAGTTGGCGCACGCCGGGACTACCACCAGAGGTTGTCTGCGCGGAGCTCCAAGCCTTACAAAGCAAGGCCCAGGCATTCGAAGTCTTCGGGAATCCTTGATATCGGGCAAGAAGTTCCCCAGGTTCCCAGATGGTTCCGAAAGATCTTCGACGCGTTTCGTGCCCCAGGGTGCTCTGCGGCAGCTCCACATTGTCGAGACCCCTCTTGGGGCGGCCGAGTCACCCTGGCCGGCCCTCCCAAGACTGGGCCAAGGCTGAGAGGATCCGGCCAAATCGATGTGCAAGGTTTCCGGATGTGTTCGAACATGTGTCGGAGGTCATTGGAGGTCGCGGTCTCTACCAGCAGGTAGAGCCCGACGAGAGTTTGTGAGCGCTTTGTATTCGGCGTTTCGACATTGGACGGAAGAGGGGGGGGGGTCTGGCTCCGGACCTCTGCTTAGTGCGACTGGTTGCAGCAGGTGGGTCCTATGAGGGGAGACTCCACCTGCTCGAAACAGGCGCCCAAAACCGCCAAGATCTACTCCATGGAGGGGGGGTTGGGGGGCCCGCGCCGATCGGCAACAAGAAATAAAACAACGATCACGATCAACGACCCGATTGCCCATGATTGGAACTTCGGCGAGCCACACTGCGGCGGAACGGAGCGGATCGGAGGTCAGCGAGCGGCCCCGCAAGGGAGCTGCTGGGAGGGCCAAGCCCGCTCACTGGTGGATCGATCGTCCATGAGAATGCGGTGATGGCATTTTTTGATCTTCGAGGGTGAGCGGACCCACCAGCGATTCGAATCTCATGCAGAGAGGCGCGGGCGGGGCCGCCGAGGGCTCGCATTCCTGAAGCCCCTCGTCCCCGCGCGCCGCCGCCGCCCTCTGCTCGCAAGCCAGACGCCCGCGGTCTCGCGCCTCCTCCAGGGTCGCGAAGCCGCGCGACCTGGCCACGCTCTCGAGCGGCGGCACTGCCTCTCAGAGCCGCCGGCAGCTCCCACCGCGGGCGCCTGCCGCGAGGGCCCCGCGGCCTCCGCGCTGGCCGCCGCCCCTCCGCCAGTCTGGGCGCCGACACTCGCGCCTGCAGGCTCCCCCGCCGCGCCTCCCGCACCTGCGCCGGTGCCCAGCTTGACGGCCCAGCGCTGGCGCGTGGCCGCCGTCGGGGCCTGAAGGGTGCCGATGGGCTCCTTGGTCCCAGGCAGCAGGCTCTTGCCCAGGTCGTTGCGAGCCTGGGCCCGCGACCCTTTCTTGGCCCGCTTGTCGGTGCCCCCACACGGGTCTCGCAGGCCGCGCCACGCCATCCTGGGCGCCTTCGCGTACAGGTAGCACGAGGTGCACACCAGGAATGGCTCTGAGCTCATGCTGAGCACCCGGCCCTGCAGCACGTGCCCGTGGACCTCCCACGGCCCGAGGCGGCCTGCTGGAATGCTGTCAGCGGCGCCCAGCGCGGGCGAGGCTGGCTCAGCTGCAGCATGCTGGCGCGCCGCCGAATGGGCGCCAGCAGTCTGAGCCTCCAGCGCCGCGCCCTCGCCATGCTGATCGAGGCGGGGCGGCCTTCGCCAGCTGCTCTCCCTCGTGCTGGGGCCTGCGGGCGACCCTGCGCATGGCCTCTCCTGGCGTCTCGCCGCCCGCGGCCTGGTCCAGCGGGCTGGGCGGCGGGGCTGCAACGGGCCTTGTGCAGGCCGTGCGAGCCGCTGCCGCCTTGCCAGTCGCCTTCGCATTCGCCTTCGGGGCGCTGGCTGCGCTCGGCCCCGCGCTCGCCGCAACCGCCGCCGCCGCCAGCGCAGCCGCGCCAGCAGCCGCCGCCAAGCCAGGGCGCTGCGCCGTGCTGGTCTACGCCTCGGCCGTCTCCAGCGCGTCGTCGTCCAGGAAGCCGAGGTCGAGGTCGTCGAGCGCCTCGACGGGCCAGCAATCGCGGCACCCGCTGTCCGAGATGTGGACCTCCATCTCGGCGGCGAAGCGCGCGGCCTCTCGAGCCCGCGCCTGTAAGACCTCCAGCACCAGGACATCGTCGTCCGACGCCGCCTGCAGGGCCGCCCCTTCCTTGGCGCGCTTGTCGGCGATCATATTGCCGTCGCGCTCGTAGGGCGGTGATCTTGCCTGCGGTCACCGCTGCCTCTGAGGTGTGGGCAGGGATGTGTTTGGCCGACACCCCCTCCACGGCGTCGCCTACTCGAGCCCAGAGGTGGGCATGCAAGGAGGTGGGGCCGCAGGCTCTGGCCAGGTCCCTGATGCAGTCCACGGTGCCCTTGCAGTCGCTGTAGATCGTGTAGGAGCCCACGATGTCCTTCAGCGCCAGCACCGCCGCGTAGTCCTCGCCTGCTCGTGCCGACTGGTTCGGCAGCAACTTAGGCGAGACGGCGCCCCACGCCTGGGCCATCACCTGGCCGCTGGGCGGGATCACGATGACCGACCAGCCCGCGCTGCGCAGCGTAGGGAACCTCCCGTGGACGCAGGAGCCGTCGGTGAACACCATCGTGCCCTCTGGAACGACCATGGGGCTCTCCCAGCCAATGTGTCGCCAAGCCCACTGCGGTTGCCAGCGCGGCCTCTGCACCAGGCTGGAGGCGTCCACGAACAGGCTCTGGGCGAACAGCTCGCCGAAGAGCGGCCCCATGCTGTTAGTCACATGGGCCGCTTTCAGGAGGCGGGAAGGCAGCTTGTCACGCCGCCATGCCTGCCTCGCGAGGCAAACGAAGCGCCTGTGGAACACCGTGCCCTCCTCGTACTGGCACTGCAGGCAGAGATGGTTGATGCCATCCCTGTGCCTAGCCAGCCGCGCCTGGGGCCAGTGCGCCAGCGAGACCAGCCAGCGAAGGCAACACTTGTGGTGGCTAGTCCAGACCTCGGAGCCTGCGCGGCCTAGAAGCTCATTGATGGCCCCCCACGCGGGCGGCAGCCTCCAAGGCCAGAGAGACCCAGGGTGGGCTCTAGCCTCCTCAAGAGCTGCAGCATTGCGCGTCGCCTCGCGCGCCCGCTCCGCCAGGAAGATGGGGGAGTAGGAGGCGACGTCGAACTCGCATCATTGCTCGTCCTGTGGGCGGTCGCCTCCTGCGGTCAGCTGCCAACCGATGCGCTGAAGGGTGAGCGCCAGCGCAGCTATCGGGTCCCGCACTGCAGTCCAGGGCCTTTGGCAGTGCTGCAGCCGCTCCGCATCCTGCAGGCAAGCCTGAACCGCAGCAGGCCAGGCCTGCTTGGCCCAGGTGGCGCTGCAAAAGGCCTGGACCGCCATGCCAGTGGCAATCACCAACGAACCCTGCCGCCGGCCGCGCGGGGCGCACTACAGCACACAGTTCAGCGCCACTCCAGGGGGCAGCACGCCAGCGCGCTTGGCCGCCGCCACTCGCAGGGCTCGCATCCTGCCAGGGGGGCACTCCCGAGGTGGCGGATCCCCAGAGGGCCTTGCCCGTCGGCCCCGCTCGCATCGCGCGGGACCGCCGCAGGCCAGGGCCGAAGCTGCGCGGTAAGGCGGGAGAGGCCTGTCGCAGGGCGGCCGGTTCCCGCGCCGCCTGCGCCGTCGCACGGCGGCGGCCTCCTGCAGCGGCATCGCCTCCCAGGTCGCGGTGGCCCGACACGGAAGGAAACCTCCGATAGGGAATCCAAGGTCTGGAAGTCCGTGGAAAGCCAATCGTGGATTGGCCATGGACATCACCGCCGCCCTCATCAGAGAAGGAACCCTCCAGGGTCTGGAGCCTCCCGGGACTATTCCTGAACCAACGCCCCCACCGTATTCCAAGTCCAATGATTTTGCAATGTGTACCCGCTCGTCGTCGCCAGTAGCTGCGTTTCGGTGGGGGTTGTTGGTGTGCATGGCCTTCTGTTCGCATGCTGTTGGAACGGCCAGTACGGTGTTGAGATGATCCAGCACCGTCGATTAACTGAAGCATGTTCTCGCACTGCATGTGCTGTGGGTTGGACAAGGCGTTTTCTTAGCATGCCCCACTATGTGTATCGTTGGTGGGTCTCGTGATCCAGGTTTGGGTTACTCTGTCGCATGTACAAACAACCCCCCATCAATATTCGAACTTCTTCTTTAGGTCAGCGACATGCAACTCCAGGTAACTTGTATGCCTCAAGTGGTCCAGCCACGGGGCAACCGCGCATGATGGAGAGGGAAGAGGAGCCAGAGGAGGAAGAGGGGGAAGACGGCGAACCGCCCAAAGTAAGTGTAGACAGATGGTGCGACATAGCGGCATGCCCAGTATGAAGCTGGGACTCAGAGTTCACCCGCTCTGGCTCGAAAGTGGCAGCTGCAGGAGAGGGAAATGGAACAACCGAAGGCAAGGGGGAACGGGAGAGGAGAGAGAGAGACAAGGGGACGATCGCCCGCAGAACAAAGACAAACTCGTGCTTGCGGAAACCGAACGCCCCGAGCATTGCTGGAGAAGGTGCCCGCACAGGAACCCCGACAATCTCAATTGTTGAATGGATACGTGATGAGTATCAGTGGCGTGCTTTTCAATCGGAGTCGCAAATATTGGACTGATGTGTTGGCGTGCTCAGTGCACTGCGAGGGCGCCTCGACCTTCTCTTCTAAAAGAGTTCTGGAGCAAGCGAGTTGTATCATGTGCCACCCATTCCCGCGAGTCTTGCCATCAGAAAATGTAATGGTGTTGCGTTCGGCTGTGAGTAAGCCACAGAAGCAGAGCGCAGATGATTCCACATGCCGTCGTTCGGGCTCACCATTGGACGGGCTCGTCGCGTTACCGTCCGTCGTTGCAATCTCTCTCATGCGCTTTTGTATGGCATGTGTGTGTTGACCTTACCCCTCCAGCAATCAGACTTACTGCAACCTGTTTGCCCGCAACTTGATATGTTGGGTTGTCTGTCAAGTAATATTCGTCACGTAGCCGCCCTCCTCGTACTCGTTCTCTTGCTCCCCTCCCTTTTAACACACCCGTCCGCTCTCCGAAGCCCTCTGGCAACAGGGCGATACCGGCACCGCAGACGCCACAAGAGCACGCCAATCGGGCACACCACTAGAGGAAGTGCAGCGGCCCAACAACGGGAAACCGACGAAAACACCTGATAGAGCAAGCTACATCCCCGAAACCCCCCGAAACCATACAAGGACGACGGCGGCGACGGCGACGGCGGCGGCGATGACAGCGACTGGGGAAACCAAAAGGTACCGATACCGCTACCCCCTGGACCTCTCCCGGGGTGCGTTCTGACCAGATTTTCGAGGCGAATCCAGCGGTGGCGACGAGGGCCCCCCAGGAGACCCAGAGAGGGGAATTCGAGGCAAGGGTAGAGGTATGGGTATCTCTTCCTCTTTTGAGCGACCGCGACGCCGACCACTTCAAGCGAAGCGGGGAGGGGGGGGCTGCACCACCACCGTCGTCAAGGCCAGCGCCACGGTGCACACGAGCATGACCGCCGAGCAGGTGAGGCCTCGCTCTGCCGCTCTGGGGGGTGGCGGGCCGCCACGGCGGTTGCGATCGACATAGTGAAAGGAGCCCAGGGACACGCAAATAAATGCACATAAATCCCAGGATTCCCCACATCTTTCCATATTTTCTGGGTTTCTGTCATCCCCCCCCCTTCCTACATTTCCCCGTCTTCTCCTGGGAGTCGATGATTCATGGTGGCTGTGTTGTTTCCCCTCCTGAATGGCACGCACCAAGAACTAAAGTCCCCATGCGCGCCGTGGAAAAACACACGCCGCGCCCCGGAGGCTTCACACGTCGATGCGGCTCGAAAAGTGCAGCCTGGAGATGGGATCGGAGATTCCACATCTCATTTTCCACGGCGTCGAGTGTTTTCGTGCACGGCTCTTGCATTCCGACGCCGCTGTCGTCACGTCGCCGCGGACAAGCTGCTCCGCAACGTCGGAATGTTCGGGATAATCTACTCACTGTTCTGGCGTTGCGAACGGGATGAGAGAATCGGCGGCTGGCAATTGCCGTCCGCTTGCCCCCAGCCTAAAAAAACTGGTCGGCGTACCCACCACTCCGTCGCGATGACGACGTGAACGAGGTAATGTTTTGTACGTCGTGGCAGTGTAGAAGAGACGCTGCCGACTGACTGACTATCGATTGGCCCTCGCCTAAGAAATACAACCCATTCCATGCTTTATTAAAGTGCCACGGAGTCCGACCCATGTCATCGTACAGCGCGAGGCGTGGGTGCACATGCGGCTGCGATCTCTGGCGCCTGAAGTGGAGTCCGAGCAACAAGAGGTGGCGTGTGTGAGGTGTACCGAATTAGACGTCCGCCACCAGTAGCGCCAGGACTTCCCACGTGGAAAGAATCGCGCGGGGGAGCCGTCAAAATGACGGGTGGTGCGAACGCGACCGCTCCCACTGACGCTGCTGCTGGGGTTTTCCCATGAGGACACGAAGTTTATGAGGGGTGCGGTGTGCGTGCCATGATGAACAACTGCGCGTGCTCGACCAACCTTTGTGAAACCAGTGTCGCGGCTTCCTGCGCGGAGCGAGCGACGTGTGCACGGGGTGTGCCGTCGCACGCGGGGGCGCGCACGCAACCGCCCTACTGGTGCCGCAATTGAAGCCCGATTGTAAGGCACGGGTCCTGCGATGGCCGAGCGACGGAAATGAAGGGCGGCTCGTCCGCCACAGCGGTGCCGCACCTGGGCCTCCGCCGCGGGGGCCCGAGGTGCACGACGAGCTCGCCGACATGAGCAGCGCAACGCCGCGTGCGACAGCTCCAACGGGAAGTGCACCGGGAGCGCAGCGTTAAAAACGACGCGCGGGCGCGCGAGGCCTCCCAAAACAATCAGGGCACGCATGCAACCGTCCCCTGTGGCGCCTAAGGCGTACTTCGAAGCGTCGGGCTGCCCAGTCTATGCTCGCCTCCCCGGGTGCTGTCAACGGCGCAGCTGTCACAATCTTCGTGGGCGACAGGAGGGCCCACCCAATGCAACGCGGTCCTACCCGGGCGAAAACGAAATCTCGCATCCCTGGGGCTGCGGACTGGGCTGCAGCCGCCATTTTCCTGGGCACCTGGGGGAAAGGGGTCAACGCGATGCGGTCCTTCCGGGGTAAGAACTGAACATCGCCCCCCCGGCTGTTGCCAAGTGCGCAACCGTCGCCACTTTCGTGGGCCCCTGGGAAGTTCAGCGCAGTGCGGCCCAAGCGAGATCAGGACTGTGCCTCGCCTCCCTCGGTGCTGCCAACTGCGCAGCTGTCGCCACGCTCTTGGACACTTTGGGCCGGTGCAACGCAACGTCGACCTGTCATGATCAGAACGAAACATATCCACCTTAGTGGTACTATTTAGGTAGCTGTTGCCAATTTGTCGCGAGCTCCTGGGAAACCAAACGCACTGCAGTCCTTGTCAGGTCCGAGTTCGACCACGCCCTCCTTCGGTGCTGTCGCCTGCACTGTCGTCACGTTCGTGGGCTCCTGGGGGGCCCAGCGAAGCGCTGCCCAATGCAATTCAGAAGTGAGCCTCACCGTCCTCAGGCGCGGCGAACTGCGACACTACCACCAAACTCATAGTTCCCAAGTGGGATAAGCGTAGCGCAGTTCCACCCAAATCACAATCACACCTCGCCTCCGCTGGGTGCTGCGAATCTCCGAAATGCGCAACAATCTTCATGATCGTGGGTCCATAGGTGGTCCAGGAAAGGGCTTGGTCAGATTCCTATCAGGATTACGGTGAGGACATTGGATCAGGAACCGTTGGATCAATAATCCACCGTCTGAAACCGGTGGAAGTTCAATTACGCATTGGCCATGGACTTCACCACCGCCTTCATCCGATAAGAAACCCTCCAGGCTCTGAAGCATCCTCAGCACATTCCTTAACGAACACCCCCACCGTAGACCTCGCCGTCTCCAGAGGCTGCGACCCTCAAAACTGTCAGCATTTTCTTGGGCTGCGGGAAGGAAGCGCAATGCGTGGGTCCCTGGGGGCTGCGACCTGTGAAACAGTCGCCTCGCTTGTGGGTCGCTGGAAGTCCAGCGCGCAGCGGGGCTACGCAGACCCGGATGATATCTCGCCGTCGCTGCCGTGAACCTCGAACATTCATAATGGTTTGGGCTGCTGGGTAGCACCGCACCGCCGGACGACGCAGACCCGAACGAGATTTCGCCGCTCGTAAGGGCTGCGAGCAGCGAAACTGCCGCCAGTTCCGTGAGCAGCTGGGAGGCCCAGCGAAAGCGGGGCAACGTAAGCCCAAACGAGACGTCGACGGCCCGAAACCGTCGCCACTTTCGTCGGCCGTCGGCGAACCCGGGCAGCACAGGGCTGTGATGATCCGAAGGAAAGCTCGACGCCCCTGGGTGCTGTGAGCTCGACGCTGCAGCAAATGCCGCTACCTGCTGGGGGTTCCAACGAGTTGCGGGCCTGCGCAGACACGGCTGCCAACTGCGCCATTGTCTGCTCGTTCGTCCCTCGCGGTCGCCCACGCGGGTCGCCTCGGCAGCGTGCCCGCCCGCGCGGGCGAGACACGGGGGGGGCCCGGGCACGAGGCCGACGCTGGCTTTGAAGCACGCCGCCTGGCCGCGCGTGTCCTTGCACTCAGTGGCCGCGCAGGCCCGCGGCGACCGCGCGGGCGCGCCCGGGCGCCCGCCCCGCCGCTCGGCGGGGGCAGGTCGGACGCCCGGCCGCCCTCGCACCGCAAGGCGGCGGGCGCGCCCCCGGCCGCGTCGCGGCAGCCACCGCGCCTACTCCTCCGCATCTCCCTTCGCGCCACTGCGCCCACTCGCGCTGCCTCGCAGGGTCGGCCCTCGGGGCCCACCTCGGGCCCGGGCCCCTGATCCAGCACTTGCGCCACTGCCCTTCCTGCTTCGCTGGGCCCCCCACCGCCAGTCGCGCGACGGCGGCGGAACCGGCGGCAGAGGCACGATCTGCAACGTGTGACCGTCATTAGGATGCTGTTCACGACGCAGCTCAGGCTGCGTCAGAATAGAACGCGCGCTCTGCACGGCGCGAACTTCGCGCGCGCCACGTGGTCGACGATGGCCTCGGCTCGACGATGGCCACGCGCGGCCGCGAACTCCACGCAATGGAACTCGCCCTCCTTGCCGGGGCGGCCGGCAGAGCAGTCGAGGCGCGCCCGTCTTGGTTCCAGGCGTTAGAGCTGCAGCCCAGAGCCGCAGCTGCTGGCGCCCTAAACAAAGTCGAAGTCCAAACCGCCAGCACTTGCGGCCCACCCGCTTCGCCCGGGCGAGGTTGAGTTGCAGGCGCGCTACCTGGCCGTCGCAACGGATCATCGGGCCGTCGAGCTTGCGTTGCGACCCGCAAGCCCCAGCCCTTGACGCGGTCGCGGCAATGCTCGGTGGTCGCGTTCTTCCCGACCGAAATGCCGCGGCGCGCCGCGCTGGCGGGCGCGGCGGCGCCGCCGGAGTGAGCTTGCCCAGCCCCGCATCGCCCGGCGGTCGCTTGCGCGGGCAGGGCTGGAATATCCACCTGAACGCCCGCGCCACCCGGCCGCGCTGCGCAATCATGGAGACGGGCCAGGCCGCGCCAAGGAGGGTGGCGCCAGCCTGGTCGAGGAGGGAGGTGCACGACCCACCCGCTGTCGAAGCGGAGCCGCTCGCGGCGCCCCCGGGCCGACAAGCCGGACCCGGAGTTACCCATGATGGCCGGAAGTTCTCCCCTCGCGACGACAATCCCCACTCCCCGATCCACGAGCCGTTGAAATGGCCGTCGCGCGGGCGGCACTCTCGCGGCCAACCCCTTCCGACACAGACCCTGTTCCGACCAGGCCCGGTTCCGACCCGCCCGGTTCCGCCGACGCCCGGTTCCGACCCGCCCGGTTCCGACCAGGCCGGCCTGGTCGGAACCGGGCCCGGTTCCGACCAGGCCCGGTTCCGACCAAGCCCGGTTCTGACCAGCCCGGTTCGGACCCGCCCGGTTCCTCCCCGGCCCTGTTCCGCCGCCAGAGGGGCGCGCAGTCCCGGCGCCTGGGGCTTTCGCGCGGCGGAACAGGGCCGGTCGGAACAGGGCCGGCGGAACAGAGACTGGGCGGAACAGGGCCTCGGCGGAAGAGGGCCGGTCGGAACAGGGCCGCGGCGGAAGAGGGCGGGCCGGAACAGAAGAGGGCCTCGGCGGAACAGGGCCTTGGCGGAACAGGGACTTGGCGAAACAGGGCCGGCGGAACAGGGCCGGCGGCTCTGTTCCGCAGCAGTAGTAGTAGTAGTAGTAGTAGTAGTAGTAGTAGTAGTAGTAGTTAGTAGTAGTAGTAGTAGTAGTAGTGTAGTAGTAGTAGTAGTCGTAGTAAGTAAAGTAGTAGTAGTAGTAGTCGTAGTAGTCGTAGTAAAGTAGTAGTAGTAGTAGTAGTAGTAGTAAAAGTAGTTGTAGTATTATTAAAGTAGTAAGTAGTAATAGTAGTAGCACCAGTAATATCGACTAGTAGTAGTATTAATAGTCATAGTAGTAGTAGTAGTAGTAGTAGTCTGTAGTAAGTAGTAGGTCGTAGTAAG